GCGCCTAGGGAAGACGAAAGAGAGGAAGGAAAAAATTCAACCGTTTAGGAATTGAAAAACAAGAAAGCGTCTAAGCGCAAAGCGATGCACTTTGCCCTAACTTCAAGCTTAGACGGAGCCTAAACACCACTTAGGTGAACTTTTTAGAACACTGGATTTTATATTTAAACTTTCTACTTACAAGTTAGTACGTGAAGGATTTTACTAAAGTCATTGACATTTTGAATACCAACTTTTTTTATTTACATTGTGTTTGACATCCATTTTGGGGAAGAATAAATTCTTGATGAAAGAATGTGTGGTTAAAAAGTAAGGAGAATTTTTGGGTTTATGTGTAATATTATTTTATTGATAGAATGTGTGGTTGAAATAAAAAAAGAGAAAAAAAATGAAAAGGAGAATAAGAATAGGCCCCCGGTTGACCCATATTATTTTTTTATTCTCATTCTTCTACTCATTTTCAACCACACATTTTTCAATAAAATAATATTTTCCATCATATCAATAATTTTTCCTTCATTTTCAACCACATATCCCATATCACATCACTTCAAAAAAATGCATTCTTTCATTTTAATGTGCACCAAACAGGCTTTAGATTGGATGTCAAACAGGGGCTTAAAGTGTCAAATCAACTAGTCGAGCCTCTGTAAATTGGCAAAACCCCCCTTTTTGCCTCGTGGCTATGGCAGTTTAGCTGTACGTACACTTTCAACACCTTCGATGATAGAAATAGAAGAACAGGATATTCTGTATGAAACCCTAAGTCCGCTCGGCACTAGTTCTGCCGACACACCAACACCGCCGCCGCTGTCGGATGATGACGAACCGTTCGTTATCTTACGAAGCGAGATTTCGCTCTCCTCCGTTCAATGCCCTTCTCCAGCAACATTAGCTCAGGATTACTTCTCTCTCGAGGTGAACGATGCTAAGGAGACGAAAGAGACTCCACCACGTACTCCTTGTCCGCCGTCGCCTCCTCAGCTGCAGGAGGCTGCTACTGAGCGGGAGAGGACCCTGGAAGGAAATTGGTTTCGTGCTAATTGTCGCTACAAAAGCCCAATGCTACAGCTCCATAGAGGTTTGACTTAAATTGTTTCTAATAAATTAATTGAATTTTAAGATGTGGAGAAAAGCTTCTAAGCTGAATTCTAGTTGGATAGTTTAGGAATTAGGAACTTAATACAAAAGCTTATGACTTTGCATGAAAAAATCGTGATCATGAAGAATTTAGCTTGTTTGTGGTCATAGGAAGTTAATGAACTTTTGTTTGAAAACTGCCATAAAAGAAGCAAATTAATTATTTACTGATGCGGGTACATGCAGAGATAATTGATTTCTGTGATTTCTTATCGCCAACGCCAGAGGAGCAAGCATCACGCTATGCTGCCATAGAATCTGTTGTTGATGTTATAAAACATATCTGGCCCAAAGCTAAGGTATGTTTGATTTTATTTATATGTAAGACCACACTAATATTCTCATGCACTTGTTTGTGAGATTATAAGTTGATGAGCTGTGTGAAGTTATCTGTTGATATTGTCTTGCAGGCAGAAGTTTTTGGTTCGTTTAAGACGGGGCTTTATCTTCCATCCAGTGACGTTGATGTAAGCTTGCTGCTTATTATTTTCTTATGCTTTGAACAATAAATTTCTAGAACTATTCTTTTTGTTATTTCTGCCGTAGGAGCATTTTTAATCTTGGAAGTTATATGTCAATGGTTTTTCGAGGATGTGGAAAATTTACACTTCTAAAACTAGATACTTTTTCATGGGACATTATTTAATTATTAAAGTTGATGACAAACTTTTACTTTCCTCATCGGAGATTTAGTACTTCCAGTATGAGACAAGATAAGTTCAAAACTATTGAGGGTTGCAAAATAATATGACATGGTGCAAACAATTGGTATTTGTTTGCCCTGACTATGGGGGAATAAAGATATGACCATCTGATAGAAAATAGACTAGTCAAGCTTTTAGCAACGCTAGTGGCCATAATGATGTGTACAATTGACTTGATTGAAATTTTCCTTGAAATCTATGGAAAAGTATACATTTAACATACAATATGGTGCCAAAAGTAGACATTTGACATAAAATTTGGTGCTCGACAGGTTGTGATCTTGCATTCGGAGGTCAGAAGTCCTCAGATTGGCTTAGTTGCTCTTTCTAGGGCCCTTTCTCAAAAAAGAATCGCTAAGAAGATACAGGTCTGCTTTTGCTGAGTAAACTTCTCGCTATAATAAATTTCAAACATTTTCATTGTTGTCTTTTGTTTTCTTTCTGTTCCAAAATCAGGTTATAGCAAAGGCTCGTATACCAATTATTAAATTTGTAGAGAAGAAAAGTGGTGTTTCCTTTGATATAAGGTTTGGCTATTCAGCATCCATCTTTCATATTGAATAGCAAAGAAGTTTTTTGTAGTCGGTACAAATTTATTAGAAACAAGGCTTAGTTTGTTGTGGTGGTGGTGTTGATAATGTGCACAATATGACCTTTTTTAAAGGTTCTCGTTCCAAAATACCTGTAATTTCCGTATACAATAAGGTTCCGGGACAAATTTTGAGTTTGAAGCCAAAAATTTACAAAAAAAGTTAACCACATTTACTTTCATCTCAAACTCCCTACCAATTCCGACACACTCAACTTTCAACGGCTGAAGTATCAAATTAGAAGTGAAGCATTCTTGAACTTTGATATCAGTTTGACCAGAACCAATTCACTGATAAGCCTTTCTCAATAATCTAATATTTTCGTGAACATGACAAATGAAAGTCCCATTGGGGCTAATATTTCTTTATGTTGGAAGTATACTTGATTTGGCAGCTTTTCCTTGTTATTCTTCATCGTAATTATGGTCATTATATTATAATTTCTTTTTATATGGGGTTGGGGATTTTTTATTTTCATTTCTTTGTATCTTTCTTCTTCCAAAGTTGCAATACCAAATATTTTTACCCCTAAAACTGCGGAGCACAAGCCCTCCTCCTTGGGTTTCATGTTTGCGTCTGACATGACTCCTATACGGGGACTCCTTGGACACCTAGAACGCGTGTCCATGGCATGTCCTATTTTATATATGAATATGTGAAGTTTTGACACGTGATCGATACTTTGGCAACATTTCTTCAACATGTGAATTTTATAGATGAATATTTTCATTTTATTCTCCAATACTAATAAAAAATACAAAAGATAGTCACTCGCTATGCCCAAAAGATTTCATCACCAATATTCCTAATCAAAGAGTATTAATTTAATTTCAAAATTTTTTTTTGATAACCGTGGATGTCCGGGCCAGCTTACGCGCACCTCGATGCGTCTGACATGACTCCTATACGGGCACTCCTTGGACACCTAGAACGCGTGTCCATGGCATGTCCTATTTTATATATAAATATGTGAAGTTTTGACACGTGATCGATACTTTGGCAACATTTCTTCAACATGTGAATTTTATAGATGAATATTTTCATTTTATTCTCCAATACTGATAAAAAATACAAAAGATAGTCACTCGCTATGCCCAAAAGATTTCATCACCAATATTCCTAATCAAAGAGTATTAATTTAATTTCAAAATAACAAAGTGCTAAATAAAAATATAGCGCATATATGATGTCATAATGCATGGGTTTTTTGTGTCCCTAGGTGTCCGTGTTATGCTTCTTGAAAAGTTGTATATTGTTGTGTCTGTCCATGTCCGCGTCCTTGATGCATGGCAATGATCTTCTGTGCAACTGTTTAATGTTTTCATATAACCTTCAGCCACATCTTGACTGCTTTTTTGGGTTGATTTTTTATGTCTTGACAACAGCTTTGATGTTCAAAATGGACTGAAATCTGCAGAGTATATAACTGTATGTTACATTAACTTCTTATATTATTTTATTATATTTTTGTTGGTACTGTGATGTTATTTGCATTTATACTTTAAGCTCTCTTGTAGGATGCTATATCTAAATGGCCACCATTACGACCCTTGTGTCTGATTTTGAAAGTTTTTCTGCAGCAAAGAGAGTTGAATGAGGTGAATATTCATTGTTTGTTTTGAGTTAATTTGCCAGAAATATATTTTCCATTTTGCTTCAACTCAGGAGCACTTTTTTCTCTAGGTGTACACTGGTGGAATTGGTTCCTATGCGCTCCTTGTCATGCTTATAGCTATGTTGCAGGTAATTATACTAGAATGATGTTTCCAATATTGATATGACTATTCTAGTGCATGCAAAATTTGATTGGCAACTATATGATACCTCATAAACTGTGTCATCAAATTAATTATGATGAGAAAACAATGACCTCTTGCTCCATTGGAGCTGTGCCTCTGTTTTTAAAACAGAGTGTGATACTTCTGTTTACTGGAATAGTTGCTGCTGATTGTTCCAAAAGCAGTGATAAACATAAACAGACTTTGTCTGGTTCCAATATTTCAGAAGCAGTGATGTTTTCTGCCTTTCCATGATAATGTTTATTGAAAGCAGCTATTCATAGATGAAAGGAGTCGTAATTCTTTTGACTTTCATTGTGTTCCTTCTTTTGATTGTTCATCGGGTTTGTTTCCCTATTTTATATTATTTTTCAGAGTCAGCAAGATCGCCAGGCTTCTCCAGAACTAAACCTGGGAGTTCTACTGGTAAGCTTGTATGGTGATTGTATATAGCAGATGATTTTCTTTTCTTGCTATTTTCTGAATTTCGAGATTCCTGTTTAAGTTGTTCCACTTTCTATATTCCATTTAGCTTTTGAAGCACATTGAAATGAAACCAAATCTAAGGCTTGTATATTTTTCCTTAATGGCAAATACCCAGATTTATGTGCTGTTTTTCCCCCTTTTTTAGAATGTAATTAGTAATCACTGTCGTTTATTAAATGCAAGTCCAATTAGGAAATTGGCATCAATGTTCTGTATAGTAGTTGGTTTCTTTGGAGGATTTAAGGTTACCCTTTTCCGGAATGGCCATTTCTCTTGGTACAAGTAAAAAAAGGTCCATGTAATTTCATACTAGATCAGTCACACCATAAATACAAATTTTCTTTCATTATACCTGTGTGGGCTACAAGCCTGAAAGTCGTGGATGACTGCAGATTTGTAGTAGTTTTCTTTAGTCAGAATATGTAAGTTATTAATATTCGAAACTTCTGTGAAAGATGACTGTGATAGGCAATTTAACCTTCGAAACTTCTTTCTTTACCCTGGAAGTGGCATACAGTATTCAGATTGTGTGCAGCCTTTTGCATGTGTGTGAAGTTGAGTTTGGATTTATTCTTGTTTTAAAGACATCCATTCCTTCTCCTGTTCTTATTAACAAACTAATTTCTATAATATAATAATAATTATTATTAGTTTATTACAGTAAGCTTATGGACTTCTGAAGTTATTATGAAATTTTGCTTTTGGAATATAGGTGAACTTTTTTGACATATATGGCCGCAAGTTGAATACAACTGATGTTGGTGTATCTTGCAATAGGGGAGGCACTTTCTTCTTAAAAAGCAGCAAGGGGTAACATTTTCTTCAATGGTGTTGAAACTGTTAATCTGATTTAGTTGTTTTTAAGTTTAATTGTTATTCCATTGCGCTTTCTCCTGTTCAGGTGTTTAGTTAAAGGAAAGCCATCCGTTATCGCCATTGAGGACCCACAGGTGACCTTATAAGTTTTGATACATTTTTATTTCTGCTTCTCAACCGGACACATTCATTGAATATGTTTCTGAGCCTGCTTAATGTTGCCCGATCATTTTGTGTTTTCCTTTTCTTTTACCTATTCTATTTGTTGTATAGGTTGGGCTTCTTCATTAAGATATTTGAAACTATGACCCCAATGTGGGAGGGAAAAAAAAAAAGAAAAGAGAATCTTTAACAGCTTATTATATCGTGTAAATATTCACATGCATATTTGTTCTGACAACAGGATCCAGATAATGACATAGGGAAGAACTCCTATAACTATTTTCAGGTAAGATTCTTCTTGACGCTATATTTTTTCCCCTGCTTTCCTTAACGTCATAGTACCATTTTCCCCTCTGCTTTGCTTGATTTCCTAATTCTCCTACCATTTGTGTATTAAGTGAACAAGGAATATAAACATACTTTGTATCATGAGTGACTTAACTGTACAAATCATAACTGGTTGTATCCTTGGCATCACTGATAGCTGCTCTGCCCCTACCCCAAAACAGAAAACCAAAAATGATCAAAAGGAAAAATGTGAGGGAGAATTCTGATGTTTCCTGTTCTCCTATTCTTCAATTTGAAGAGTACTTGATTTTCTTTTTATTACTTATTGTAATTGTGGTAACATGTCTGGACTCGCTAATGAGAGCAACCGCTGTCATTTGACTCATAACTGAATACTGAATAGAGTATCAAGTTTTACCTTGCTCTTGCTCTTTGGTATTTTACATAATTTGTGGGCCTGTAACTTGTTTAGTTTTATACTATTCTCTATGTTCGTGCTAGTGGTCCTCGTTGAGATTTCTTCTGCTTCTCCATTTGCTCCCATTTGATGCCAAGTTCTTATTTATTTTCTGGGGACCATATTTTCAGAAGTTGAGTTTTATTTCTTTTTATGTTACTGCAGGTCAGATCTGCTTTTGTCATGGCTTTCATGGCGTTGACAAATGCAAAGGTCATAATGGGACTAGGCCACAACAAGAGCATTCTTGGCAATATAATCAGACCCGATGCAGTATTGCTGGAACGGAAAGGAGGATCTAGCGGAGAAGTGAGATTTCAGACCTTGCTTCCAGGTGCTGGAGAGCCATTGCAGCAACAATTTTCCAACCAGCAGGAGATTTATTGTAATTGGCAGTTAAATGATGATGAGGAACCACTCCCACGTGGAGATGTGATTGAGGATGGTAATGGCCAATCCCCGAAAAAGAAGAGAAGGGCTTCCAAGGAGAACAAGTCTTTGAAAAAAGTGAAAGAGAATACGGTCGAGGGAAGAGACAGACATGAAGAAATTGCTTCAAAGGAGAGGAGTGCAAAGAAACCGCGCTGGAGACATCACCAACATGGGGGTGATGGTGACAGACACAGCCATGGTGGTGGCTCATCTTATTCGCATCATGCTTATTAATTAGTTTTTTGTGCTTAATTTAGTCTCCCGAGTCCTGTGGGGGATGTAATTCAAGTGATTAGCGGTTTGGCCCCCATTTTTTTACATTATAATGAGAGGAATAGTAATTTTTTGGAGAATGTGTGGTTAAAAAGAAAGAAAAAGTTTTTGGGTTTACATGTAACATTATTTTATTGAAGAATACGTGGTTGATGAGAAGAGAAGAAAATGAATTATAATTTAAGGTCAAACGAGAGCTAGAAATTTCTGTGGAGGGAAATGTAGTTGAAGGGTTTTTTAAATGCCGACCTTTCTAATGAACGATTGTTAGTGCTTTCCTCCATCGACATGTTTAAAACAAGAATAATAATGTCACATAAATGAATTATATAATTTCGCCTTTAATTAAACATACCACATATTGTCACGTAAATTGGTGCACTGACAATATTGATGTTAGATAACATTATTCTTAATAAATCCATGTTGTGTGAATATAATTATTCTTGTCGCTTCATTTGAAATTTCAATCTTGAACTTCTTCAAGGTCTAAAGCTCCAACAAAACATGAATTTCTTGGTGAAATATCAAAGATTAACTGATCCAAAGCTTTAATTCTAAGAAAGATTCAATAATAACACTTAAAAGTACTCGTTTCAACACATAATTGCAGAGAACTTAATAAGCCAATATTTTTATTTTATTTTTTAAAAATTTTTAGAGCATGAATCCCTTATTGTATTGGAATCGACATGTAAGCCCCTCATCAGTCATAATCAGTACAAACTAGGAAGGTTACACAAAGCTTATTATTATTATTATTATTATTATTTTATTTTTATTTTTACATTTTTTTTTCAGTTTCCTTGCTATTATTTCAGAAAACGTACTAGTTTTCATCATAAAGATTCAATGCCTCACGTGCGGACAAGGCCCATAAATCAAAAGTACCTGAAAGTTGAAACTTAAATTTCTAACACATGTAAGGAAGCAAAGTGATTCATCTATTCTTTCTTACCATACTATCGGATTCTTAGATCATCATTATGTGGCGAATGTAATTTTTCACATATAGATATTGAGAATAGTTCATTGTTTGTTTCTTGCAATTGGAAAAATCAAGTTCCCTCAATTTTTTTCGTTCTTTGCATGTCGGTGATAAAAGTCGACCATGAGGCCCATGGTGCTGATACCCCGGAAGATGTAGAGAAAATAGAACGTTACATGCAAGAGAATAACTTATCTTAGCTCCATCGATGCCATTGCAAATTGCTGAGGGATCTTATATGAATATGAGTTATCTTCTTTTAGTATCGTTATGTACACGATGACTGTAATAAGCGTGTAATATGCGGTCCTTCAAGATGCATAAAACTTGAAATGTTCGGTTCAGTTTTATATTTAGAACTATGCGCGAATTATATAGATATGTGGTTTTGCATAAATATGTTCTTAGCTCAATCACTACATTATATCATTGTTGTTTTGAAGCACAAAAACGAGAATCCTCAATTACGACAAATTGACATTTTGGGTTATGTCTGCACATTTTAATAAATAAATGGCCATTGTGAATTTTCTTTAGTGTTTTATGTCTCTAACTTTGGCCAAAATGGCCTATAACTAGGATGATGTGCTTGTCAAATTTCTCGTAAAGACAACGATCAATTTTCTTTTGTCATTTGTGAGACTAAGCCCCTCTTGATAATCATTAAAATGAGTTTTTTTTTTTAATAGAAAAATGAGTTTTTGAATAGTGATTTTTTTAAAAAAAATATATGGTTAAAAAGTGGGAAATTTTTTTGAATGATAAACATTTTATTATGAGAATGTGTAGTTGAAAATGAGTTTGAAAAAAAAAAAAATTTAATGGTTGTCAAACAAGGGCTAAGAAATACTATCCAATTTTTCACCATTTATTTCTATAAGTTTATAATTTAAATCGATTACACACACTTTATATACACTATAGTCGAGACATTTCCATATAATCGAGCTTCTCTACTAGAATTTCTACTTATGGTAAAGATCACCCGACCACGAATCAAATAAAAAAGATATTAGAAATGTCAATTTATGTTTCTACAAACACTTGACCACATTTGAATTGGACACAAAAGAACTTGATTAACCATGAACTTAGCCTAATTCAACTATAGTCTACACACGCCTCCGTTATGGTCAAGCTTCTTTTGATAGAATCGCCAAGAGACATGACACCAAGATCTATAAAAAATGTCAAAGTTTGATTTAGTAGGGGTGGATAGAAGTACCACGGCGAGTTCAGTCTAGTCTTGCTTAAGCTTTAAACAAATTCGTGTACCAGAATCAAGATTCGGCTTGTTCAGTTTGATTATCGACCAAAACGAATTTTTTCAACTTATTTGATACGATCAATTATGAAACTTTAATATATTTTTAACATAAATTCTCTCGATATCATTCTTAAAATTTAATTATGAAATCAAAATGGAACCGAATGATTTTGGGTTCCTTAATTACATTTGGAACGTATGGTTTTCGATATCGTTCGGTTCTCTAATTGAGGGGTGTTTGATTCTCATTTTTCTCAAAATACATTTTTTTCTCTCTTCTTTTTAACCACACATTCTTCATTAAAATAATATTATACGCGAATAAAAAAAATCATTCTCGTTTAATCATACATGTTTCATTAATCTACTATTTCAAAATACATTTTTAAACAATAACGTGGCTCAAACATAGTTCGAAATTGATTATAGGGAAAATTATATAAATCCAGATGTTTGAAGATAACTTTTCAAAAATCAGGTCTAGATTTTACTTATTCAAAAATTAGGTAATAATTTTATATTTTAAAAAACATATTAATATTAAAACCCTAATAATTTTTTAACATGTGTTCTCTCTGTCCTCTCATTCTCTCTACCGGAAGACGAGAGGCGCCACCGGAAGACGTCACCATCCACTGAGTGATGAAGCAGCTGTAGAAGCGGCACTGTCGTTCCCAGCGGCGTCGAACGAGACGCCGAGGTTGTTGTCATTCCCAATGCTGAGTGTCGTTCCCAGCGGCATTGAACGCGACGCCGAAGCTGCTGTCGTTCCCAACGGCGTCGAAGCGACGCTGAGGTTGCTGTTGTTCCTGGTGGTGCACCCGCCGCCGCCACATACAATCGCGCGTAGTGTAGCCGCCGTAGGACTCCGTCAAATCAAAAATTGGAATCGAATGCCCAAATCAAACAAACCCTAAATGAGTTGGGCATCGGCAATTGGTGTATTCGGCAGCAGCAGCATTTGGTGGTTGTGTTGTTTTCAGTTTGTAAATTGTTGTGTTTTAGTGGTTGTTGTAGTGGTGAGGGGTGGTGGTGTTGGTGGTTGTTCAATGGTGGTGGTACGATGATAGTCATGCATGTTGTTTGTTGGTGGCGAGTGGAGTGATGGTGGCTGTGGCGGTGATGACAGTGGTGGTGTGTCTCTCCAATGGTGGGCGATCTGGTGGCGACGGTGGTGGTGTGATGTGGTGGTGTTGGCAAGAGGTGGTGGCGGGTTGGTGGAGGGGGGTGTGATGTGGTGTGGTAGAGGTGGACGTCAGTGACTTTGTTGGTGCTGTTGCGGCGGCGGCGGCATGGTGAGGGGGTTCGAATGAGGTGGTGGCGGGTTTGTGGTGGGTGGTGTGATGTGGTGTGGTAGAGGTGGACGTCAGTGACTTTGTTGGTGCTGTTGCGGCGGCGGCGGCATGGTGAGGGTGTTCGAAAGTGACCATAGTGGTAGTGACGATAATATGTGACCAAATGTTTGGTAATTTGTGACGAATTACTCAACTGTGATCTAAAAATTTAATAATATGTGACTTAAAAATAATCTGTGATTTCGAAATAATTTGTGACGTACAAAATTTTTGATATGTGACATCGAAATAATATGTGATCAATTAAT